GAACTTAAGGTGAAGTCAAGAGAACAATTGACTGCAGAGAGATTTAATTTTCTATGGTTTTCATCTGCACAATTAAGAGAAAGATTTAATATAGATGAAAAGGTAATAGGAACTGGACAACATGAGACTGAATTCGAGATTGGACTATGTACAAATTATGAGCACATGATTGATAAAACGTATAAACCTTTGCTGAGATTTTTAACGAAAAAAGAACAAGTTAAAGAGTATATTATAAAATAGGCCAAGAATTTTGGTTATAATATAGAGATGGATCAATGGGAGAGAATGTGGTTAAAAGAATTGAAATTCACACTGTGTTATAATTTAAGAGAGAATTTTTATAAAATGATGTACCATTGGTATATGATTCCAGACAAATTATTTAGAATGTATAAAGGTACCTCTAGTCAATGCTGGAAATGTGAAAAACATGAAAGGATGTTTTCCCGTGCATGCTAGATTTGTGAAAAAGCAAAAAAATATTGGATGCAAATACATATGATGATACAAAGAATTTTAAAGATTAATATTCAGATGAACCAGAATTGTTTTTTTATTGGGACTTATGGATAACCAATTAGGAAAAAAACCTCATGGAACATCGGTTTTGTATATAGTAAATGCAGCAAGACTATTATCTGCACAACACTAGAGAAATACTGAAATACCCACAGTGGAGGAATGGATTGTGAAGGTGGCAGAATTTGCAGAAATGGCCAAATTGAATTGTTTGATCAGGGATAAAACAATAAGTACTTTTATAAAATACTGGAAACCTTTTACTGACTTTTTGGTGAAAATGGAAAAAAATGAAATAGTGATTTCTGGATTTGCTGATTAAAAAGGGTTGAATATAGGATAGAAGGGAACTATAGGTAGTCCTCGCTTAACAACCGCCCAATTAACAACCAATTTTCTGGTCCCTATTGTGGTCGTTAAGCGAGTAATCTTAAAGTGGGAGGAGGGATAATAAGTTTGAAACTGCTGTAAAGAAGACCGGAAGTCACTTCTTTAATTATCTTTTTTCTTTTTCTATCTTCCTAAGTATTTTTCGCACTTTATCTTTTATCTTTCAACTTTTTCTTAACTTTTCTTTATATATTTTCATGTTTATCTTTTACTTCTGTACAAATTTCTAATAAAATAAATGTATGTATGTATGTAAAAAAGAAAAACCAAGTTGCCAGCAGGAAGCTCTATGCAACATGAACTGTCCGTTGTGTAGGGCTGCACAGGACTTTGCCTCCCTCCTGCCCTGCCCAGTCTCCCCAGACCATCAGCTACTATTGGGACAGGGCACTGCCTTCCAAAGGACCTTTGCTCTGCTCAGTAAAGACCATGATTACATTCTTCTGACCACCTCTCCCTCTCTGAGGAAGCAAGGCAGGCTGAATACCTAACCATGAGCAAGGGGTACTTGCCTTTGCTGCCCTTCACTTGCTTTTCAATAAGCAGAGGAACCTTCACAGGCACAGACCAAATGTTTCCATCTTCAGCATTTCTACTGGATGGACTGCAGATATTTGGCCACTGAGATGGAAGAGCCACTGCTGTTGCATACTTTTTGGCCTTCTGCTGAGGCCTATTCAGCTTTTGTTCATATATCTCACTGGAAGCTCCCAAATACTGAGCCAAGCCAGTTTCCACCCAAGCTGCCCTTTATGGGCAATCTCAAAACTTAGGCCTGCTGATGCCCAGCTGGCCAACAGAGCCCAAACTGTGAAGTGCCAGCTAGAACATTCTTCCTATATTGAGAGCCAAGCTGGTGCACACAATCTTACAATCTTTTCCAACTAGCCCAGTTGGAAAAATACCTTTCCAAAAACAACTGAGTTCATTCACTACACCACAATATGGTTTCCTTTGTTTTGGCTTAGTGCGTTGATCTCCCCCATGTTGTGTGTATTCAGTAAACCATATTCAAGCAAACTATGGCTTAGCAGAATGCTTGAACCCAGCCAACAATGAAGGAGAATGTGAATGGCCCCCTTCTGACAGCACACACCTTTCCGAAGCTGCCTTTGCCCAACACCATCAGGAAGTTGAAGTCAGACAGTTTCATGCGATCACGGTTCCCGTTGTTGTCAAATTTGGAGATGGTGTTTGGTGTCTTCTCTTCTACAACCTTTGAACCCGGACCGATCCTGGCTCTCTAGAAAAGGAAAAGGCCTTTTTTTAAAAAAGGGGGGAGGTAATGAAAGCAGAAGAGAATAAGCAAAGCAAGACATACAGTATATTCCAATGTGCAACAGTGATGGTAGGAACACCTTGAGATTCTGGGTTGGTTATTATTTCTTTTAAATCTCTAAATCTTCATGAACACACAATAAATAACTATTTCTCTAATTCTACTATTTGGTTCACTGTAAAAAAAAAAACAGCATGGTGGAAACCCTTCTTATCATCTGAGTTTCCTTGGGAAAAGAGAAAAGCAGGCGAACAGGAGAAACTCTGCCAGTGCTAGTGCTTTTCTTGCTGTTACATCAGGTCTCCCTCTCTCTTGCTTTCTTTCCCACTCACCTGTACCCCATACTTCTCCGAAAGAGTTGCTTACAGGCTCCTAACATCTTTTTTAAATTCCAGGAAGGGATGCAAGGGAATTGCAGGGTGCAGGGAGAAGGAGCCATGCCAGCCCAGGGTCTTCCTGGGCAAGACTGTGGCCCTGAGGAACTGCAGCCCCTCTGGTTCCCTGATGGATCTGGAGGCTGACGTGTCCTTGGAGCCAGGAGACAAAGCACCTACCCAAATTCCTGCTCTCCCTAAGAGGGATTCCTCCATCCCCACAGCTGCATCCGATGATCTCTCACTCACTGGACAGAAAGAGAACCACATACTGGAAGTGACAGGACACACTTCTTAAGCCCTGATGTCGAGTCCTGGGGGCGGGGGCAGAATAGTGATCCTTGGGACCCCGGGGGGAGGGGCTTTGCCTCTTGCTGCTGCTTCAACTCTCAACTCCCAATGGGGGACTTAATCCTAGAATCACAGGGCTGGAAGGGACCCTGCAGGTCTTCTAGTCCAACCCCTGCCTGCGGCAGGAGTCCTCATACCATCTTGTGCCACTTGGGAGTCTCCTCGCCACTCTTGCAAGTGTTCTTCCTACAGGAACTGATGAGTGTAGAGAAGCCAAAAAGCCCAGGGAAAAGCGAGCAGGCCATGGCTAATATGAATCAGGCCAAATTGGTCACAACTTAAAAAATAGAGATGCCAGGAGGACAGATCAATATAGAGGTGCCTGGAGCCAGAGAGCCTGCGAAGAAGTGTCCCTCACCCATCTTGGACCCTTGTGAAGGCTCTCTGGGTGCTATTTTTTCCCCTGGAAATGGATTGCTTCTTTTCAATGCACCTGCATCTTGATGATAGTTAAGGCTAACTTTCTGTATTTTCCTGAATCAATCCTTAGCACTTGAAAACCTTTTACAGGTAGTCCTCGCTTAATGTTTAGCGACGTTTGAAGTTACGATGGTGCTAAAAAGTGACTTACGAGTGGTGCCCCAAGTTATGACTGTTGCAGCACCCCCGCAGTCACATGATCGCGATCCAGGTGCTTGGCAACCAGCTTGCAGTTATGACTGTTGCAGCATCCCGGGGTCACATGATCGCCATTTGCAACCTTCCCAGCCAGCTTCCAGCAAGCAAAATCAATGGGGAACTGCCTGACTCACTTAACAACCATGTGGTTCACTTAACAACCACATGATTCACTTAATGGCCACGGTGATTCACTTAATGACCGCCGCAAAAAGGTTGTAAAATTGGGTCTGGTCACGTGATGGTTCGCTTAATGACCACATCACTTAGCAACCTAAATTCTGGTCCCAATTGTGGTCGTTAAGCAAGGACTACCAGTATACTTGATTCGCTTCTATCCTAGCAAAAAGTGCTGTTTCTGCATCTCTCACTGAAAATAGTTTGGAAGAAAATACAATAAGCACTGCCTATTCCAACTGGAATCCAATTCTGATCTGAATAACGGCAATAACTCAGTGAATGTGTTTGCAAAAGGGACAGACGGGGCTTCCTCACTCTTTCCACCGCTCCCAATAGCTGCTGAGCATTCAAGAGCTTTCTAAAGGGATGGCAGCACTGCTCTTCTCCCACTGAGCTGGGGGCGGGGTGCATAACTTATTGGGACACAATTTGTTAAACACACAGACGCAGACGGATAGCAATCTCATAATTTATTCATTTTAATTTCTGAAAAACACGTGGCATTGGAGGCGCCTACCCGGGGCTCAGCCTAGCATGAAATTCCATTAAGCTGAGTCAGTTGGGAAGCTCCTCCAGGCTCAAACTAGGAGCGTCGGAGACAACTGCAGACGCTCAGAAGCTCTGCTGTGCTACCCTTGGCGAGGGGCTTGCATTCCTCCTCTAGAAATCCCCTCTCTCCTCCAGGACAGCAAGGCCCTTTGATTAATCCTGGTCATTGTGGAACACCTCTGCTGACAGCATCCCTCTCGGGCCATTCCTCTTTTGCTGATGGCCAGTCTTGTGCTACAACATTTTCCAGGTTGAATACGGCTCTGGCCACATGTCCAGATTCGCCAGGCACCTCACAGCCCCATCCCCACTGCCTTTGCTAAGCAAGCCACCCATGTTGGGAAGGCTAGGCCAGCTTCAGCCTAAACCTCTCGGCTTGCGAGCCATTGGGAGGCTTGGCAGAGCCCTGGAGAAGGGACCAAGAAGCCAAGGGAAACGCTGGCAATGTGAACTCCATCCACAGGCTGGATGACGGAAAGAGCACGAGGCACACCCCCGCCCTCCCTGCCAGCAGCGTCTGCACTGAGCAAGCCAGTTCGCCTCTTTGCCTGTGGATTTTCTCTTGCTCAAGCCATTTTCTTCCAAATGTGCAGCCATTATTAAGAGTGTTAATTTCTCTTTAATGGAGCTCCTGGGTTCTTGTTTTTCCTATGGTGGTGAAAAACTATACTTTCACTCTCAGTGTCAAAGAAGCTTAAACAAAGCCGTTCTTGCATAATGCTTAAATTGGATTTGTAATAAAAGGAGCAGGGCTGACAAACAAGCCAAGCTGAAAGAGTAGATGTCATGAATAAGGGATTGAGGGAAACCCGCCCTTCGGACCTGAGATGTCTCCAGGGCTCTCTCTCAGCCTTTTGATTTCTCGCCCTCTCCCTCAATCTCTTCCTCCGTTTCCTCTTCATTCTGGGCCACCGGAAGGGTTCCCTAACGGCCTCAGTCCTGACAAGCCTTCGGGGATTATTGACTTTGGCCCTTTGCCCAACTGGTGGGAGAAAGTTGAAAGCCCCAGAGCAAGGTCATCCGAGTGTGTGTGTCCATAAAGTCAAGGTGGTGGCTGTGGCCGCCCACTTGAAGCCCCCCTCCTGTTTTACACGCATTACAGCCGCAGCCACCATCCTGACATTTCTTACCCCACCCCCAAGAGAACCTGTCTGAGGGAACTTCTCAAAAATTGCAGCTGCTGCTTCTAGAAGCCAGGAGGGGGATGCCAAAGGCAGTCATGTCCCCCAAGGCCTCAGGGCCAAACAAAGCTGCCAAACGGGGTCCTGCCCGGAGCCCCTTACGGTGCCCGTGGGGCTTTTGATGTGACAGGAAGGAAAGCTAATTGAATGTGGAGGGAATTATCATATTATTTGCATTTAAATAGCTTAATTAAGTTTAATTATATTTAAATGAAAACAAATTTAGTTTTTTGTCCTGTCTCACCTAATCTTTTGGCATGTGGTTCCCGTTGTTAATCCCTGTCACCAATTTCCTGGTACTGCCACACTTTTAAGTGCAATCCTGTAGCAAAATCCTGCCCGCCCTCCGCCCCCACCCCCAGATCCTAATCCCTAAACTGCTGAATCCAGCACAGCTTCTGCTGTTCCTCCCAGACTCCATTTGTTTTCATCTTTCTTTGTTTCCCTGAAATAAAGCTTTGCTTCTGGACATTTGCCTGCTGCCGAAATCACGCTAATTTTGCCGCCAGTTAAGAGCATGGTTTAAATGGTAAAATGACATCCTTGGCCAACGTCCCCACTGGCAGCTTAGGCTTGGCCGTCTCCTTTGCCTTGAGGAATTCAGGAGCGCCTTCTTTGCCCGGAGTGGAGCAGAGCAGAAGAGCTTTGAGCAACTCAGGCAAAGTTCTGGTGAGACAGGAAGAGTTTTTGTGGCTTGTTCCTGGTGACGATGTGCTCATGTGTTATAAGTCAGTGACCAAAAGAGCGGGGTAGGGGAGATGGAGGAGGAAGAACTTTTTTTTGTCAGAAGCCGGGTTGCAGATGCCAACAGGAGGGCTGCCCAATTCTGCCTGTTCTAGCTCTGATCAAGGAGGCTGCCCTCTTCCTACCCCTTTAGCTGGGCACAAGCCTCCCTGGACTGCACGGAGTCCCACCTGAGCACACCTTACAGTGTTTCCTGGACTGCCCTCTTCAAGCAGTAGGTTATTGCCACGTGTGGCAAATGTCACTTCATTCTCTGCAAGGAGGCTGGGAATCTGCTCCCCTGAATCCGGTGACACTCGTATCTGGCCAGGCAGCCAGAGAAGCAGCTGCGTCAGCGGGTGCTCCTGCTGACTTCTGAGCAGGTGTAAAGGGAAGATTATCCCTTTATTAGGCGTTCTGCTTTCCTTCGTGAGTTCAAGGAGCATTTCTAGCACTCCTTCCTTCATTTCCCCCCAACCTGGTTATGGGTTAGTTGGGCTGGCAGCAAGTGACTGACCTAAAATCCCAGAGCGCTTCTGTGGCCGAGGGGGGATTAAAAATGGTTCCAGTCCAACACTTCAACTACTCCTCCACATTTCCCCTTGAAGGGCTTACGAGACAGAATACATTCCAAGGCTGTTTTCAATTTACCTCCTTCCTTATCAACTTAGCAAATCATTTGCTGTCACTTCTAGTGGCCTTCTTGATATAGGAGCCGCAAAAGTGCCAAACGTATACCCATGGCCTTGGTGAAAATGTTTGGATGGCTTCATTGGCCCCAACCCTCCGGTCTTTTGGGGACTGGAATAAAGAAGACAATATCTGTAGCTCAGGGTTGAACTGCTCTCTGAGCTTGGTTGTTTGCTTGTAGACCCAACTAGGCACATCGCCAACTAGGTAACATCTGCACTGATGATGGGTGCGTGAAATGTCTGCAAGCAAAAAGCAAGCCGAGACAGCGCCATAACTGGAATATGTTTGATGCAGCTCAAGCTGCTATCCTGCTTGTTCCACAAGCCTAGTGGATGGCACGTTTTCTTATTTCATTTATTTAAACCCGTCCCCTGCCACACAGCCCAGTGACTTTCAGCAGCTTGCAGGGCAGACAATACAATACCAGTTAAAACATCCACAGAGCAACCTAAAATCGGTCCATCATAAAACCCAGCAAAAACAGAGGACAAAGAAGGCCCAACCACAAAAGAGGCCTTTTCCTTCATATCTGTTATCCTTTTAGTGAGCTGCCGGTATACTGAATCGCTCCTCTTCCTTTATTTTGAAAACGTCCTTTGTGCTATTCTTAGTTTCCCTTAATATGAAGAATTCCAGCGTTACACAGTTCCGTCTCCCAGCTGCCAGTACTTTGCCTCCTGACTCTAGTGATAGGACGAGCAGCCAGGGCTCACTGAGGCCAGCTGATCTGCTTGTGCATTCCTCTACCCCCTAAAGGAGAAAGCGGAAGAGCCTTGCTTGACAGAATTTGTCCCTCTGCAGATGTGGAGAGAAAGCTTTGAAAGAGGTGCTTCACAATGTGCAGGAGCACAACAGAGCTCTTCTCTTCAGGTAGTTCAAACAGCTGCATCTTGCACAAGGCAGAAGCAACAGAATTCCTATCTGTTTCTGCGTGGACAGACATTTTCAAATACGTTGCGCCGCCCCAGTAATTAAAGTCCCCTTTATCATCTGCTACTGTGACATCTCCTTGGTTTCATCTAATACAATGTCATCTTCTCTTACAAGCAGTACAGGTGGCCCTCGCTTACTGACCACTCATTCAGCAACCGGTTACGACGGTGCTGAAAAAGAAGACTTATGACCAGTCCTCAAAGTTGTGGCCCTCACAGTACCCCTGGGGTCATGTGATCACGATTCGGGTGCTTTGCAACTGGCATGCATTTATGACAGTTGCAGTGTCCTGTGGTCATGCAGTCGCCATTTGTGACCTCCACAGCCAGCTTCCAACAAAGTCAATGGGGAAGCCAGCAGGAAGTCACGGGTCTTGGTCACATGATGTCATGCTTAACGATCCATGATGATTCACTTAATGACCACAGCTGGAACTCATGAACTGACATAAGTTGGGCACAGTCACATGACTTTTCTCTTTATGACAGTGACGGAGCTGCCGGTCCCAATTGCAGTTGGTAAGTGAGGACCACCTGTAGTGTTGCCACTTGCTGCTCCACCCTTGTACTTATTGTTCAAGCAGTGCTACAAGCATATGCCAAGTTGTTTCCTGGTAGGAACATAAATATGCAATAAGTACTGCAGGTCACAATTGCAGAGTCATGTCTGCTCATCTATTTCTGAAGACACCACCGACGGAAAAGCAGTTGAGACCACCCAGAGTCGCTCGGCAGTGAGATGGGCGGTGACAAATTTGAAATATAAATAAATACATACATACATTTGTTTCTTCTTCATCATCCCTTCTCAGACTCTCAGGTTAGTCACATACACATCCATGACTCCAGTTTTTCTTTTACTCTACCCCTTTCACTTTCTATTTGATCTTCCTTTTGCCTTGTACCCCTGTCCTTCCATGAACCCTCTTTTACATGTACCAGCCATTACTGCTTCACAGTGATAGGTCCCCTTCCCTGCTACCTTGGCTATTTTGTCTTTGAGGTTGTGAGGTCTTGATTTTACTCATATAGAGATTTGGCCTCCCTCTTGCTTAAATACCTGAATGTGGGAAGTGGCAGAGAATGGATCTTGCCTTTGCAAGTCCCTTTGCAGCTATGAAAGAATTGGCCCTAGACTGCAAGATGGAGAAAAGGCAGGATATAAATCTAAAAATAATTTGAATAAATGTTTGGCATTCCACTATGTAACCAGAAGGACCTCAACCTTCTTGGAGCTACTCACTCTTGGATGCTCAGAGCTGAGGAGAAGCAGAGAGCGCTAAACAGGGAAGCTGGGATGGAACTTGGCCATAAAAAGGAGAGGTGGAGTTAAGTGTGACATTTTGGGAGAGATTTATCTCTGTGTTATTGAGCTTTCTGAGTATTTTTCTGAGAGTTTTTCTGGCTTGGACTGGCTACTGGACTTTCTGTTTCCTAGGAACCAGGGGGTGGAGTCAGAGAGCCCTTGAGAGGGAGGAGGGGCTCAAATTTAAAGGGAGAAGAAGGAGGAGGAGGAGACAAAATTATGCATGGCATGGATAAAGTGGACAAGGAGAAGCTATTTTTCCCTTCCTGGAAGAATCAGGTTAGGATCAATAGCACCATTTAGTTTGGACTGAACTGATCCAGAGCCTAGTAGCTGAAAAATGGATTCCCTCTTCTTCCTCCTTCCCTCCCAGACTGTCTGGTTAAATAAAGAGTACCAAAAGTAATTTATGTTCAACATAAAAGGTGTAAGAAAATACATTGCACTGCAAAGTGAGATTGGGAGGAGAAGAGGGACAGTGCCTGGCAGAGCAGACCTCAGGGGGAGGCAGAATACTTCCACGAGTGGAAGAGAGCAAAACACACTTGCCTGGGACTGCCTCGATCCTGGCAGGGCAGGGGGCAGTGGCAAGTAGAAGAGGCCAGTTTTCTGTGACTCCAGGGCTTCCAGCTATGCCAGCGACTAGAGTGACAGTCCAAACAATTTATAGGGCATCAACTTGAGGAGGGCTGGAATAGACTTCCAAGAACACGTCCTAAAGGGTCTGATCCCAGGCAGTGGCACAGATGGACTGGCCTCCCAGATCTTTGGGGTCAGTAGGTATACTGGAATATTGAAAGCATGTTATGGGCACTCTCACAAAATGGCTGCCACACTGAATGTGGGCAACTTCAAAATGCCCACTTCTCAAAAGGCAAATAAAGCCTTTGGCTGCAGTTCCCCTTTTATTTTTTAAGAATGCTGCTGTAGAATTAAGTGGGGGCCAGAGTGTTCTTATGATGGTGCAGCATGCAAGTTTCCCATTTAAAAAAAATAAGAATCTAAAAAAAGGGAACGTTAGGTAGAGCAGGGAGCACCAACTTGTGGTCCAGCAGGCTCCTTGCTTGTCTGCTCCCTTGACCCACATTCTCTTCCTCCCCATATCACTGAATATAACCCATCTGGCCTTTAGGTTTGCAACAAGGCATCCTCTGTCTTTTGACACTGTTGTGACATTCATCTGAACAATTTGGAAATCTTAGCCAGAATCAAGGGTTTGATATCTATGGTGCTGAACGGAACAGGGTGAATGGATTAGCCCCTTCATTTGTTTGTATGTGGGATCCTGCATCGTTTGAATGAGGCCACTTCTACACACTGTGTTTCCCATAAAGGGACGGAACCTCAAATGACCAAGGAACGCCAACCATGAGGAAGAAATACAGAGGCTAGAAGTGCTGGATGAACCCTGGCATGACTAGGAATGGGGAAAAAATCCACCCTGTTTTTCTACCACAATGGGATATGCAAAGTGTGCCAAAATAGACTCTCTAGACTCTTAGTATTTCTGCTGCAATACTAAGCACATTTGCTTGTGTCTGACTTTCTCTAGTTGGAAAGTTATATACAAAATCTCTCTGGGTAGAAGTGGGTTTCGAACAGACATATTTGCTCTATTAATGGCAATGATTCAGCTGATTCAGATTTACACTGATCTGCTCCTCCTGGAGTGCTGGGGCATCTCCGAGAAGGCAGGGCTAACTCACAGTTAACCTCATGTGGCCACATGCTTGGGCAGGGCTACAGGCGGAAGCTTCAAGGGCTGAACAGCTGAATGGCCTTTTGGAAATGCAGCTCACCTCAAACTTCTGCCTGAACTCTTCATTGCCTTCTTCACCTTCAGGGGGGACAGGAACATTGAAGTACTCTCCCTCTTCCTGGCTTAGGAGTTTAAACCTAGAGAGAGGAAAACGGGGTGATCAAAACAGTCCGAAGCTGGGGCTGCAGCCAACAGCCTGAGAATCCTGCACCAAGTATGTTATATTCTTTGTTTTAATTAGCTTTGCCCACTTTTAAAGAATGATCCAAGCAGAGCATCAAAAGGTAACAGGGATCAACACTCAACTCCCCCAAGAACAGAAGTGGATGAGAACAGAATCCTGAGCGAAGGCAATGGGGTGTTGGTGATATTTCTGAACCCTTTCCCATGTCAAAAAATTCTTGAAAGAAGCAAACAAAACCCAGAGAGACAGAAAGTGTCAAATGCTTTGTGCAAGTTTTGATTTGCAGGATATTTTTAAAACTCAGGCAATTATTTCAGAATAGTACCTCCTGCCTACTGCACATTCAGCCTGGTCAGGATTGGGCAGCCATGCCTGCAGAGAAGGCTTGCATGGCTCCAGACAAAGAGATTAAAAGGAGGAAGAAACATATCCTGCCTGAGGATGGAGAATGAGCAGACAAGATGGGATTTGCATCATGCTGAGGTCTCTTCATCTTTTCCGCCCCTTTTCTCCACGTACTGTACGTATAACAGCTCTTTAAGAGATGAAAAATGAACAGGCACTTTCCTCCTCGCAGAGTTTATTTAAGCCAAGTACTGTGACAAGGAAAATTACTTAGATCTTCACGTACTGGTTTTTAAAAATGCAGCATGTGGTTGTTTACCATATATTTTACATGCTTTCTAATGTGCTCAGCTGGTGAAGCCAACTGGAGGCAAGTCCAGAGGTGGCTAGGAAAGCCAAAATGAAGCTTGCAATGCTGGAGGAGGACCTGGCTGGCAGCCAATTCACAGAAGGGGCACATTTGTCTCCAGTGGTCTCGAACCTCTGAAGGCCACTCCTGATGCCCCTGGGCTGCCTGAGCCCTTGCTGAGTGACGGCGCCTTGAAAGAGACTGGGCTGCACCCGAGATAACAAGAGGCTTCCCGTCCAAGTATCTCACGCCGAGTGATGGCCACTGCCTTCTCCTCCAGTGCTTTGGCTGGGTCCACACATCATGCTTAATCAGCTAGTGGCTGGTTATGCCCAACAACATGCCCAAATCTGGCTAGTTTTCACCCAGATTTGCTTCAGGGCCGGATTCAGACATGGTGAAGCCTGAAGTTACGGGGAGCCATAAAATCTCTTTCTGGCAAAGTCTTGCAGAGAATAAGGCCGTGTCACAACTGAACTTGGCAAGAATGCCACCCAAATCTGTAACAAACCCTTGCTGGGGTGGGGAGAAGGTGTGACTGCATGCAGAAACAAGGCGTATCTTAATCAGTTAACAAGGGTCATGTGAGCTATACAGGAGGGCTTAATTTATGGAGACTTTCATAAATGAAATTAGAACTGTAACAAATGAAAATAATTCTGAAATGTTGAGAGGTGCCTTCAGTCTGTGGCTTGCTTAGCTTATGCCTAAACTCTCTCTGGTTTACTTTTTTTGTGGCTTATCACGTGGTATGTGAACACAGACCTTTATTTGGATTTTGGTGCCATGATGTAACCTCAGAAAGTAGCTTCATTCAGGTTGTTGTTGTTTTTTTACAGTCTCTCCCACTAACTGCCGACATTGGAGGGCTTTGGCAAATACGTGGAAAGAAGACAGCCAAAAACACAACTCTGCCCCTGGATACCAGCTACCGTTTCCCATTAGCTTCATTAAACCTTCATTCACTAGTACTTCAGCAAGGAAAAGAAATGCTAGAATATTCTGCTTCTTCAAAATGACCAAGTCAGTCATTTACAACACCAAAGGAATATACTGTATGCGGTTTATTTGGGGAGGAGGTCGCAGGCGACACCCTCCCCAGTCAGGGAAGTGCCCGCTCTCGCCCAGGCAGCCAGGAAGACAAGGAGGGCGCAAAACCACCGTCCTGGAGGCAGCTTCGGCGTCTGCCACCCCTTGCAGCTGTGCAAGTCCTCGAGTGGGCAGCCCTACCTCAGCGGCAAAAATCTGGGCGGGAGCAGAAAGACACAGAAATACACGCTCCAGCATGAATTGTCTTTAATATATACATTCTTGCAAGCAACCGATCCCAATGTCTTTTTGTGTGCATTTTTGCAATATACACATTTCTGTACATTTTTCATTAATATATGTCATTTTGTCTATATGTGTATACACACACACACACCACATAGTATATGCTGTATATATATTATGCAACATATATACTGCAAACCACATCACATCTGGAAAACTGAGGTTTACATTAAAAATATGCAAAATGAATAACTTCACATAAAAAATATAAACAGAACAAAATTTTCCCCCACTTGCATGGGAATCAACATGAAAACTGCATTGCTTAATGAAAAGAAATAAGCAAGTCTACATTATTTATCCGCCATTGGAAACCCTCAGATGCATGAATCCATTTTCTGTTAAATGGTCCTTCACTAATGACAGCCAAGCCACATAACGTGTTTTTCAAGAACTGACCTGGTCAGGTAGCATTACTTTGCTCCCCCAGTTTAAAAAATCAATTCTCAACTTCAGTTGAATGGGTAGTAAAACACTCCTGCCCACAAAGAAAGGAAAAGGAGAGCCAGCCACTTCTTAGATCTGTTGCTGTACTTACGCGCCTATCATTGTTACGGTTCGCACAGCTCTCTAGAAGCAAGAACTAAAGAAAGAAAAACGAAATGCCTTTTCTGGAGGACAGAGATGAAGAAAAAGCAAGGAGACCCTATTCAGCTCAGAGCTGGCTGACTCGTGGTACTTCCCGGCTGACCACCGGGCTCACTCCAGAGAGCATCTCCCTGGAGGAAAGTCGCCTCACCAAGGAAACGCTTTCCTCGCACTCAGACTGCCCAGGGGCTGAGGGAGCTGGTTTATCGGGAACGGCTGCTGGCGGTCCCAAGGCTCCCTGGCATGCCGAGGCCGGACTGAGCATCTGGTTTCTCTTTGGCACAATCCATCCGGGATGAGAGAATCCGTGGAGGGCAGCTATGAAACCGCAGAAGCGGGGTTATGGGCTTCCCACCACATGTTCTGGTTTTGCCCAACCCACCCAAAGACTGGAGGCCTTACAGGCAATGATTCCAGGACATAACTCTTTTAAAATTATCTTTTAAAACTGTATTTAATTTTATTTTCAGTACAGTGAAGATAATATAAAACCAGAATACATATGTCCTTATTTAATTAAATCATTTAAGAACCAGGAAGAGGATCATAAACAATTATTTTCTGTTGTCCACGATTCATTAATTTAAGCCAGACAGGATAAAAACAATCCCGCGTATTATCATTTTTTGTTCAACTTTTGCTGCACAGTGGTTTTCCAATATATCTGCCACCCTATGAAAACAGTCAAATCCTTTCTTGTTCCTCAGATTTATCTGTAATTGTTCTTATGCTTTAGGAATATTCCCAACATGTAAATCTTTTAAATAATAAGGTATTTCATTTCCCAACCCTCAGACTGTTAGATTTTATTTTCATCATTAAAAGAATGATGAAAGGGGTGATGGATGTAGTTATTTTAGGGGCCCCCTTTTCCAGACTTTGAACATGTTCAGAAGGCAGCGCCATCTGCAGGCGGGAGCAGAAACAAGCAAGAGAGCAGTCGCAGCGGCGCAGCCGAAGCCCCGCCCCTCTGCCCGTTGCAGGATGCTGACGATGCGCCAAAGGGGCAAGACTTGGGTGGCACCGATGCGAAAGGCACCTTATAATTTGTTCACATTTTTAGCAAGATCCTCTAGATAATAAAAAAATGTTCACAAATCTTAATCCTGGATGATTTGCTTAATATGTTTCGTATTGTCACAGGGATGTTTATACACACAATCCCTAAGGTAGAGAAATGAATGCATAAACCTGCTAATCTACCAAAATCTGTCCAAATATTCATAATTATGCCTAAGGGCATAATGGAGAATGCCTTAAGGGGATCCACTGATCCTTAAGATCAGTGCCATATCTTCAGCAAAGCGATTTATTTCATAAAGGGTATGTATAATAGTTTCCAACCCTCATACAGTATATCCAAGCATTCTAGGGTAAAAAACAGAAATGGCCAATAGAGGTGATCAAATGTCTTTGTTGCAACTAGTGAAAACATTGACAACTGCTTACCCTGGTTGTTAGCTAGATATACCGAGTTAAACATTTTCCATATTGGATGGGCAATTAATCTACTTTTAATAAATCCTGCTTGATCTTCATGAACATCTTTTTTATTCTTTATTTTCTCCGTATTGTGGTATTGCTGTTATATTTTTTATTTTGTGTATCAGATCAGTTTTAAATTGTTTTTTCTATGTAAGCTGCCAAACTTGTTTTGAGAGTTGTTTCCAGCACAGAAATATGTTTTATAAATAAATAAACAATATTTAAGTAAAAGGTTAGCTATCCTATTCTCTAATATATTTGTGAAAATTTTTGCATCTTGGTTAATTAATGCTCTGTATGAGCTCATGAAATCTAAAATTTTATTAGGTTTGGGAAAAAACAATTAGGACTTTTTCCATGAATCTGGAATTTCTTTACCATTTATAATACTATTAAACAGGGTAGTGAAATTAATCAAAACAACATCTTCTAAATAATCCTGTAAATCAATCTACTTCAGGTACTTTCCCTGTTTCCAGCAAATATTTTTAAATTATTATTAAAAAATCAAGAAAAAAGGAAAACAAATAATACTGATACAAATACACATTTAAAAGAACATACAGAATATAGTAAGGAAGGAAAACATTAATATAATTAATATATGAATACGAGTGTTTAGCCAACAAATCACAAATAGCCAGCAGATCAAATGTATCATATGACTAATATGTTCTAATACACCATTAACAACTTAGTGTACAGTAAGAGATTTCATATCCAATTTCTAGTCAAGAAATGTCTCTGCTGAGTGGTAAAATATTTGATTAACACTACTGAAATCAATAAGAGGAAAAAGAAAAGCTATGAACAATAAACAATACATCAAAAGAATATTGTAAATACTATAA